GCCTCGCCGGCAGAGTGGAGCGGGTCGTGGCGCCGGGCGGGCGGAGGGACGCAGCTCGGCCCAGGCTCTGCAAGGCTGGTGGTGCTGGGCGGACCTCCCATGGTCCGGGTGCTGAAGTTTGCGTTTCTCTGAGCGCCTCGTTCCTGTGAGCGCTGTCCGGTGCAATGAGAGAGGGCTTGCTCCGTTCTCTGCTCCGGTTTGATGGTGTTAACTGTTAGGCAGTACTCGGTAGGTATTTAATGAGTTAATGCCAAAATAACGCTCAGTGAGGAGTACTTGTCTTAAAAAGATGAACATAAACACTTGTCTGATCCTACTTTCAGTGTTTATGATGGCTTTTTACAACTTCTGGTTTTACAATTTTCAAAAGTTTAAAATATGTAACTTTGATTGGCTGGCATGTATTGTAGTGATGCTTCTGAGCAATTTGCATATTGCTGTTCCATGTACAAAATACATACTTTGACTAAAATCTCACAAGTTATCTTAAATTATTTTTGTAGAAAACGTACTTGAAAGTCTATTTTTTTCAAGTAAATTCTGTAAAGGCAATATGCACGTATTGAAATAAAACTTTTATACAGATTCTATAATGTGGAAGAAGCTGGGATTTGTGATGGGTTGGTAGATTCAGAAATAGAATAATAGGATACCAAAGGTTTTCTAAGAGGATTTCTTCTAGAAATAGCTGGGAAAATGAAAAGTAAGAAAAAATACAAGTTAGCAAAGATGGAGGTGAACAGTAGAGCTTCATTGGGAGCTTTTAGTCTATAAGGAGGTAGTTGGCTGTGCCTTATTTTTTTTAACCGAATTGGTTAAAAGGGATAAAACATGAGCATAGATAGCTCTGTGATCTTAGGCTCACTTGAATATAACACATTTGGAAGTATCAAATACTATAATATGAATGTTTAGAAACTTGTTCTCTGGGAAGAGCACAGTTCTGTTTGAAAACTTTAGAATTTGCCTGCTGGAAGTAATAAGGATATTTTTATTTTTGAGTTGTATTTATTAAGGTACGTTTGCATGTGTCCAGAGGTTTTTTTTTTGAGAATATTATTCAGAATGTTCTATCTGTGGCAGTGAATTTACTTCAGAGGTAATCAGAAACTCCTACAGCAAAGGTAGTTGAAGATGGCTTTTGTGAGAGTTTTAAATTAAATAAATGCAAATAGGTATTTGTATTATGTAAAGATGAATGGGGCCACTTCATGGTTTTAGAGTAGAAGGTAGGGAAAAAACTTATTTTGCTATGGCTTTAGTAGAATTATATAACATAATGATGTGGAAACAGCTTACTGAATTGGACTGTAAACCCAGATGGCCTTTAATCTTGTCGAGATGAACTCATTATGCTTAGTAGCATGGGTCAGGATAGAGAGCCAGTTGAGATGCTGGGTCTTGCACATCTACAAAGCTGAACAGTTGATCTGTAAGTGAAGAAAGTTCTTCCAAAACATAACTTTTTTTTTTCTAAAGTAAGGTAAGCTGATAAATAAGCATTTGTTTAGAATGCTTGTCCAATTTACCTTGAGTTGTCAGGAGATCTTCACTGAACTTTCATAGGGTGCTTGTGCTTCTACATGAAAACAAAATGTGTAAGGCACTGTGTTCTTATTTTGTCAATAAATCAGACCGTTCACTTAGGTAGAAGTTGCACAAAAGGTGTGGTTTTACACCTCATCTGTTTGGGTTTCTCTTCTGATGGCATGGCTTGTGTTTGCCTTCCTTGAGCTTACAGATCTTACGTAGTCATAAGGTTAGCCAGATCAGGAAGTTTACCCTGTTGAGAATTTATCTGGGTTTTTTTTTTGTTGTTGAGTTTTTTTTGTTTAGTTTCAGTTTTGTTGGCTGACTAGTTTATGGATGGTACCCTCTGATTGGATGGCCTAGTGGGCACTTCTGCTGGGACGAAGGAGAGAGTATGAACGAATGTGCAAGGGCAGCAGGGTAGGGATCTGCCAGGTCTCAAAGCAGCAGGCAGTGAATTATGCCTGTGTTGTGATTCTGACTGTGAGGTGCAGACACTGAATTGTTTCCAGCCACATTAGTGTGACTTGGTTTGCTACCCTGATGAGTGGAGATGTGGTTATGGCATAATGAGCCTACCTGGTAGGTCCCATTTCCTTAAAGGTGTAGTTACAGGTTACGTTTGCATAGAAATACTGCTTTGTGCAAGTGCACCTACTGAGAGGGTTGTACTGTGTGACTTGGAAAAGCAGCTTTGCAGAACAGAACCTGGGGCTTCTGGAGACCATCAAGGTGAACATGAGCCAGGGGTCTGCCTTTTGTCTATACATGGGAAAAAATATTTTACTGTGAGGGTCACTGAGCCTCAGGTTGCCCAGAGAGATTGTGAAGTCTGTCCTTAGAGATACTCAGAAGTTATCTGGACATGGTCTTGGGCAACTGTTGCTAGGTGGCCATGCTTGAGCAGAGAGGTTGGACCAGATGACCTCCAGAGGTCCTTGCCAGCATCTCAAACATTCCATGAATACTACAGCTAAGCAAGATAGGTGTACTTGTACAGCTTTTAAACTTCAGGATTAATTTTTTTTTATCTGGAACTGATTAGAAAAAAACTCAACCTCTTAATTACTACTTAATCTTGAGTTTTAGGTGATTTCTTTCCCTGCACTGTGTAAAATCTTGATGTGAAAATTAGTAGTAAAATGTTTAGAAATACATGATCCTTTTTGATTTTTTTTTCCAATGAAAGATAAAACTAGGATCATGTCCTAATAAAGCAGTAAAACTAGGTAGAAAAAGTCATTCTCTGCAGGCCTGTTGTTTTAGATGTGTAATGGAAGTTCATAGCTATTACAAAGGAAAATGTGTAGCTTTGTGCAGTTGGAACGATGGGAGCAGTGCTTGGGCTACACAGCTCTTACTGCAGCCCAAGAGCATGTGCAGTTACTTGTTCTTCCCCTTTTTGAATAGGCTTGTCTCACTTCACGGCTATAAAGGAATACTTTGGTTCTCATCTTTCAGCTTTAACAACTTTTTTATTGCTAATGCCAAAAGTAGAAGTGAAAATGAAAACATTTAATTTAGAGATTGCTTTATACAGCACAGAATCACACTATTTGAGAGCAGCAAAGCTCTAAGAAACCCAAATTACTTTGATTTGCTAGAAGCTGTAATGTAAGTGGCATGACATTCACTGCTTAAGTTATTTAACCTGTAGTAAAGAAAGTAAAAGTCCTTTAATTGATGTCTGTTTTCTGTGAGTTGTATCAAGTGCGATGCTGTCAGCATTTTAGTATTGAAATAAATGAGAAAGTTTGGCATACTAGGTTTCTGAAGTTGCTTATTGTATCAGACGGACATCACCCTGGACCTGAAAGTGCAGGCTTTATGAATCCCAAAGCAGTCTTTCCAACCACTGTAATAGGTGCACATTCTTAGTGTGTTTTACATTGAGGAAAACTGAGATCCTCCAAAACAAAAATATTTCTAAGAGCAGGGATTTAAAGTAAAGAGAAAAAAAACCAAAACCAAAACAAACAAACAAAAATGCAAACAAAAATACCCCCCACAGCTATTTTTCATTTATTCTGTAATGCCAGTATCTCTGTTCTCACATTTTTAGTCACACGATTTAGTAAAGAGGGGGTTTAGTTTCCTAAAACAGCCTTATGTTTGCATTTTATAGTGAATATGTAGTTGGCATCTCAGGTTATGAATCTTTAAAATAGTCTGCATAAATAATTTTAACACAGCACATTTCTTTCAACTTTCTTTTAGATTCTTTTTATTGATTCCTTGTCATGGCAACAGGAGGTGGTCCCTTTGAGGAAGGCATGAATGATCAGGACTTGCCTAGCTGGAGCAATGAGAGCCTTGATGACCGTCTGAACAACACGGTATAATTAATCTTATCCTTTGGTTGCCATTTGGTGGAGTGAAACTTACCAGGTAGATTTTGTTAGGGGCAGGTAACACTGTAAACCCCTAAGCCTTGCCCATACAGCTTTACATGCAAGTATCTGGAAAACAAATAAAAATAATTGGGGTAGATGTAAGTAAACATCAAGTGTAATTCAGAGGTTATGAAGTCTGTAGATATGTTTGTGGGAAGTGGTTTGGGTAAATAGCTAGTTGGATCATGAAAATAAAAAAAAAAAGTTCTAAACTGCTGAAGAGTCTTCAGCAAAGAAGAAAAGATAAAATTTTTGCTTCATTTGAAATTTAATGTATGGTTGGATGAAATGGGTTTAAAATTTCCTGACAAGCTACTTTTTAATTTATGCAGTGGAGAAAGTTATACTTTGTAATGTGACATTTGGTCTGAAAACTTAATGCGTATTTTGATATCGCTTTTTATTTTTACTTCTAAAATGGAAGTAAACTCTTTAACTGGATTAAAACATTTACTTTTTATCCGTACGGATAACAAATAGGGCTTTTTTTTTTCCCTTTCTTTTCCTTCCCCTTAAGGACTGGGGAAGTCAACAGAAGAAAGCAAACAGATCCTCAGAAAAAAACAAGAAAAAGCTTGGTGGGGAACCTGAAACGAGGCTTACTAATGATATATCTCCAGAATCCTCACCTGGAATGGGACGACGGAAGACCAGAACTCCGCATAGTTTTCCTCACGCTCGATACATGACCCAGATGTCTGTTCCAGAGCAGGCTGAACTAGAAAGGCTTAAACAAAGAATAAACTTCAGTGATCTGGATCAGGTTTGTGTGAATACTAGATCCCACTGTAAATGTGACTATGAAATTTATTCAACTATCTCTTAAAACTTAAGAGTTGAATAAAGGAAGTTTTTGTAAGTAGTTAAGGTTAAAAAAAAAAAAGTAGCTTATAGGCACCATGGGAGACAAAATTCTGGTTTTGACCTTGAGAAAATGATGGAAACTTCAGGACCGTGGTTTTCCTTTGAGAGTATGCTAGTTGTCTTCACTTTTTTCCTCTCAATTATTAACAAATTCCTGTGTCCTCAAATCAGTATTTCTTGCTCACCATACTCATCTGCCAATCTGCTAAAATATGTCATCTTATTTTGAAAGTCTGTTCTTGAAGTGCCAGTTAGTGATTTTGAACATTGTTATCCTTGTGGATTAAGCAGAAGAGCAGCATTAAAATTTGCTGCTCAGTGGAATGTAGAGGAACATGTGGCATGAATTCTTGAGCCATAACTGCTTCTTTGGAAATATGGCACATACATTCTTTGCTTGTCCAAAACAATGAAAAGTATGAGGGATTAATTCTTTGGTAACAAAGCATAAATTTGTGCTAACAGTTTCAGAACAGAGGCTTGTTAATCTTTGTAGAAGGTTGTTGTTAACTTTTTTGCATAGTGAAGATTCTTTAAAATATGATTGATTGCTTTGTCTTAGAATATAAAGACTGGGCATAACTTCCTCCCCAAATGTATATTATGGCAACACCTCGCTGTTCAGAAGGTTCTAAAGAAAAGCTGGAATTATGAAGTGGAAGTGTATATGTTGCTTTTTTATTATTGTTTTTCTCAAATGTACCTGGAGAAGTAGGATGCCTTTCACTGCAGTAAAGGTGAGGCCACAGCAAGGATGAGGAAATAAGCTCTGAGGAACTGCAGATTGCTTTTGCTTCTCAGCTGTTGTGGGTGGGTGGGTTTGCTTCTGGAAACTGTATAGCAAAAATCAATGACACTGTCTTTAGCTAGCTTTTGGCTAGTTGGTAACTCATAAGGTAACTTCAGAATCAATCTAGTAATACTGAAGAACTGGTAATCAAGTGAAGCTAGTCAGCATTGAGAATACATTGGAGGAAAAAAAATAAAGCAATTGTTCTTTTCTTTGTTTATAGAGAAGTATTGGAAGTGATTCTCAAGGCCGGGCAACGGCTGCTAACAACAAACGTCAACTTAATGAAAACAAAAAACCATTCAACTTCCTGTCACTGCAGATAAACACTAACAAAAGCAAAGATCCTGCCTCAGGTTCCCAGAAAAAGGAAAGTGGGGTGTCAGTGCAATGTAAAGAGTTGTTTGGAGCTGCTCTAAGCAAGGATTTCTTGCAAAATTGTCAAGTCTCTGTTCAAGAAGATGGAAGGGGAGAACCAGCTATGGATAGTAGCCAGGTATTTATGTAGCCTATAAAGTCTACAGAATATTGACTCTTGGGTTTTAATTACCTTACTCGTTTTCAGTGCATCTTTCTAAATTTCCAAAAAGTATAACTTAAATCCTTATTGGAAATGCCTATCTTCCTACTGTTCTAAAAGGCAACTTGAGGAAAATGTGAGACCAAACTTGGTCGTTTTCTTCAGAAGTCTGCTGACAGGTGCAGTATTAATTTTCATCTTGGAGGTTTGTTCGCTTCTGCGCAGTTCCAGAAAATACTCTTGCAGTTTAATACTTCCAGATATTAATCAGCTCAGTTCTGTTTTAGCCCATCGACAAGAAGCCATGTGCTTCAGCCTCGCAAGTTCATGTGTGCATAAATCTATCCTTAGAAAAGCTGTTGACTTTGACTCATTTGCAGAATTGTGCTTGTAGGATTGAAAGAGCTAGTGTCCTAACCCTTTAATGACTCCTTTGCTATTGCTGTCGCTATGTCTTGTGCATTAAATACGTTAAAGCTGTAGCTGAATGCATTCAGTAACTGTAGTGTCTTTACAGATTGTGAGCAGACTAGTTCAAATTCGGGACTATATTGCTAAGGCCAGCTCCATGCGGGATGATCTTGTAGAGAAAAATGAAAGATCGGCCAATGTTGAGCGTTTATCACATCTTATAGATCACCTTAAAGAGCAGGAGAAATCCTATCTGAAATTTTTGCAAAAGATGCTTGTAAGTTTGAGAACATAATGTATTTGTTTATGCACTGTAAGCTTTATTTAGGAGTTTTGATGGTGCTGCTGGGGGTGTTGGCTTTGATACCTAGTACCTTCCGTAGTTAATTTTTACTGCCCCCTTATATAGCTTTTGATTTATGCCAATGAAATATTTCAGGCTAGAGAAAATGAGGAGGATGATGTTCGGACTGTAGATTCAGCTGTGGGATCTGGTTCTGTAGGTGAGAGCACATCGCTAAACATTGATGTGCAGTCTGAGGCTTCAGATACCACGGTAAGCTGCCTTTTAGTAATTAAGGTGCTGGAAATTAAGACTTTGTTTTGGTTTTGTCATGATTGTTATCATAGAGTCATAATCTGCAGTTTAATTAAAAAGTAGTAGATTCCCAGACACTCTGTTCAGGAGGTGTTCGTGCATGTATGGATATTTTTTCTTCTTGTATGGGGGAAAAGAAATTAATGATTCTGTCACAGCAACAGTATATCTTGATGAGTTTTTTAAAACTTTATTCAAAGTAGAATGAAGGATTAAATGTTTACTCTGGCAGAGCATGCACTGAACTGATGGAGGTAGGAGCAGTTTTCTATACAATTTTGCATCTCTAAGTTTCTTTCTATTAGGAGAGAAAGCTTTCTCATGTTGAGTAAGGAGTGTGTTGGAAATGAGTCATTAGTGGTTGTTGCCCAAGCATCCTTCTAGTGATATGGTAGAAGTATTGAACTAACAAAAGTTCCTATCGTTTTTTGGAGAGACGAGCACCTTTCAGAAAATGTGTTCTGGATTTAGTCCTGAGATACGCAGTCTCCCTTTCTGTTTATAAAATTTTTGTATTAATGTAGTAAACAATTTTTATGGTAGATACAAAAGCTTTTTATACAGAAGTTTTTATAACAACTTACATTTTTACATCTTCCAACATTGCTATACCGAGGAAGAGTATTAAAGAGCTAGTATTCCTTTGGCCAGTTAGTATATGGAATGTTGGTCATACAGATAAGGAGAATTTACATGCTTGGAAGTAAAACAGCAGTTAAAACATTAGGAAAACTTTTGTAATTAGTTTTAGCTTTGCAAGAACTCTTTCTGTCCTTGTTTATTATTTTGTTTCTTTACAAGAAAGATGTACTTTTAACTTAAAAAAGAAATTGAAAAATGTAGAAAAAATATCAGTATACTTCTTGAAAAGTAGGCATGTAAACTTGCATTTTTCTTACCTTTGCAAAATAGAGTTTAGTTTTATGTTTGGCTCTTCATTGTGTATTGAATTTGTCTTTACACGCAGCTTGAATATATTATGTGCAGAATGAACTCTTATAGTCTTGTAAGGTTGGTTGCTATATGGAGTGTTATTATTATGAAAATTCTAATAATTGCTAAAAGAATCTTTGCTTTTTAGTAGATTTTATTTGATGTTAGTTTTTCTTGTTTGACAAGATACAAGTGGGTATGTTTGTAACTTTAAAATAAAGCTAAGTTGGAGCATATGTTCAAAATCTAACATATTAAACTATTTAATAAAGGAGGTATCTTTTAGTTTGAGCATTCGGCCCTGCATTGAGGACAAACTAGGGAATTCAGCTTCACAAGAACAGGTTACAGACATTGATGTTACAGCAAGCCCTAAAGGGAAAAATGACAGAGCTGCTCTGAAAGACAGGGAAATCTGGCCTTGTAGGATTAATAGCCAAGGACATGGATTACCTTCAAAGGTACACTTCAAAATATTATTTTAGCTTCAAATAAGGTTTACACATGCTGATATTTTTCTCTTATTAACTGCTTCAAATGTATTTGCCACTTACCATGAGCATTCCTATTTGGCTTTCTTACCTGTATCTACCTGTCTTTTCATTGAGTGAATCTTCTTTGCATAGGATTTTTTTCTTTTAATAGAGATGTTTGACAGCATTCTCTTTGAAAGTGTTAATGTTGACGAAGTACTGCATGTAACTGTATAGCAGACATGCTGACTTGATGTAGATGATCCTTCAACTTCTGGTGTTTTCTTTCTGGGAAAATACGTTGTAAATGTGACTTTCAAGCACTTGTCATATTTATAGCAATACTCTGCCAATGCAAATTGAAACTAATACCATTTAGAGAAAGTAAATTACAGAATGGTAGCTGTAACTTGTTCCACAAACATTTTTCTGTAGCTGTTTATGTGAATATTTGGTTGGAAGGGGGGAGACTAGAGGACTTAGCCTAAAACTTCTTTTGTATTTGTTACCAGCTATTCTATGGCTTTGTCTCTTACTCTGATTTTAAAAAAAAGTCTTAAGTTTAAATATCTGTTCCTATAACAAAATGCTTAAATGTTTTGTCAAGCTTATTAGCCTAAATGCAGAACTAAGCTTGAAAAAATTGTGATTTTAATGAGTTCAGGCAAATCTGGTACTTTAGATAAAGCCTAGATTATTTAATAGGTGAGCAAGAATGAGACAAAGCCCCCTTCTTCCCCTCATCCCTTCCTGTGTTGATTTCATTGTATACTCTGTTTTGTCTCTACTGTGCTTTTTATATTTAAGATGAAATTTTAACATGAATAATCAGTGCCAGTTGCAGTGCGTGTTTTAGTGACACTTGGAGAAAATTTAGAATTCTGGATGTGTTCTCCTGTCTCCTCTTCAAACTTGAGCGTTCCCTGGTATCCAGGACTAGTTAATAAGATGCCTGCTTCTATTGTGACATTTGTTACAGAATTTTTGGGCTGAGAGAATTTTGTACTTCAGGAACTCAGCACTATGTGGAGAGATGATGATGCTTTTAAGTTAGTAATGTTCTTTTTAAAGACTTGTCGACTCCTAAGAAAAAGGAGGCAGATTTTCCTGTGGGTTCATCTGCATAGTGCAATAATCCAGATTCAAAGAGGAACAGAATCTTAACTGTGGATGTTTCATTATAATATTTTATTATATAAAATGAATGAGTTTTGAGGCAAATCTCTAGATTTTAATTAGGTTAGGATGAGGAAAATAATACAGTTTTAATATTTTTTTAACAGCTCAGGATTGTTGCATTCATTCAGATCTATTTCCACGTGTTTGAAAATACGGTATAGAGGAGATAGTTTGCATGGTTTTGTTTTGAAAAAAAAAAATGGTTTACCTGACTGTGGTCTATTCTAGCATCTATGGCATAAATACGGTATACAAAACTGAACCACCTTATAGGCTAGAGAAGAATAACTGCCCGAAACGTTTTGGTGAAAATTTAAAGATTTTAGGCCAGGAAGTCAATCTAGATTTTGTGTTCTATGAAGCTTTAATATACTATGCCTTATCTTGTTTAACTTTACCAGTCTTATACCTTATTGCCCTCTTTTATGATTCAAAAGACAGAGGGGTGCTTGGGTTAGTCCTGGGGATGCGTATTAGGGTGGCTGGCTGGCTGTATTTCTAATGAAAACTTAACCCCTAGGATTAGTAAGCATGTGTTTCTTGGTGGTGGAGGCTTCTCCCTGTTGGATATCTAGAATTTTTAGACTGAAAAGAACTACTGGAAAAGTGAAGCCATTTCATTTTCACCTTTTTCTCTAACCAGGCTCTTTAACAGAATCAAAGTCCTGCTTGTTTTGACAGTTCTGTCACTAGTACGGAACAAATAAATTGTCATGATTACAGTAATGTTCTTCCATAACATGCAGGCCAGAGATCCTCAACAGGAAGCTAAAGAGGAGTTGGAGAACTTGAAGAAGCAGCATGATTTATTGAAAAGGATGCTACACCAGCAGGAGCAACTGAAGGCTCTTCAAGGAAGACAGGCAGCTCTTCTTGCTTTGCAGCATAAAGCAGAACAAGCAATTGCTGTCATGGATGACTCTGGTATGTGGAATGGTGGTGTCTTTGATAGCACATTAGCATGCTGATTGAATGATTAAAGCTCGAATTATGTAATATACATTAAACTCTTTTTTTAATCTGCCTCTCATCTCCATCATTGCATCAGGCCTTTGAAGGAGTGAATCAGAGTGGCAAAATGTTTCCATCAACCTGAGACAGCTTGGCTGATTCCTTCTGCTCTGACCTTTTTAGCAAAGCATAGAGTAGATGTACAAAGTCCTTTTGTATGCTTCATCACAAGTGGGCTGAGTTTGCTTATGAGTGTGTTTCTTTAATGAAAGTAATCTTTCAATAGAAAAGTTGGTGGGGAGGACACAACATTAAAGACGGCTGTATTTTAAGAGGTGCAGTATATTGATGATCTTGTTCAGCCAAACATTTTCACACATGAGACATGAGACCTTTATTTCATGGCTCTATCTTTTCTTGCTTCTGCATTCCTAGTTGTAACAGAGACTACAGGTAGTGTTTCAGGAGTAAGCCTTACCTCAGAACTGAATGAAGAACTGAATGACTTAATCCAGCGCTTTCACAACCAACTTCATGATTCTCAGGTCAGTCCTTGGATTGCACTGTGTAAGTTCTGCCATTGTCTGTTCTTACTCTTTTGAACAGTGCAGTTAAACATTTGTCTTGCTTATTTGTGTGCATTTGCCAGTGGATTACAGTTCCCCTAAATGTGAAAGCTCAGCATCTTTGCGTTCTTAAGAATTATTAGCTGACTGATTTATGCTTTCTGTCTCACAGTTTTCCATGAAGGTCCAGGGAAGTAGTTTCTATATTGCAGTATAATTATGTTTTAATTTATAATTGGGACATCATGACAGTGTTTTCAGTATAGCAGTTTCCCTTTATAATGTTCCTTGTTCTATTATTGAACCTAGCAAGTCTGTAAGAGGGCTTTTTTTTTTCCTTAAAATTTATTTGGCTTTTTTTATAGTACTCTGAACAAAACTAAATTTCTCTGTAGACACAATCTGTGCCAGACAACAGAAGGCAAGCAGAAAGTCTTTCACTTACCAGAGAGATTTCACAAAGCAGAAACCCTTCAGTGTCTGAACAGCTCTGTGATGAGAAGGCACAGCTTTTTAACAAGATGCGAGTGTTGCAAGGTAAAAAGCAAAAAATGGACAAACTGTTGGGAGAACTTCATACGCTTCGTGACCAACAGCTAAATAACTCCTCCTGTAAGTAAATATAGCCAAAATTGTATCTTTTCAAGAATACAGCTTTTTAAATGTGCATATTTGTAACATGGTCTTTCAACAAGCAACTGGTTAATGACATGCAGGTGATAAAGCAGTGCTGGGCAATATTATATAAATGTTTTTAGTGCTGTATAAGTTTCTGGCTTAATGGAGAGCTCTACAATTAGTGATGATGAGTGTTTTGGCTAGTAGTACTTCAGTTTATAATATCAAAGTTGCCTAACGTGAGGATGTGATGGTGAGATTTTTTTTTTCAAGGCCTCTTTTTGACACATCTGACTTGTGGAGTGTGCTGTATGAACTTGAAATTTCTGTATTTTTATCACAGTACATTTGTATTTATGTACGCAGCACTTCAAATGTTAGTAGTTTTATGATGTTATGGAGTTTGCTTGTCCCCTGTCAAAAGACTTTCTTCTTGCACACTAGTTGCAGGGACTTTGATTATAGGAATTTAACCAGAGGAAGTCATCTGTTTGAATGCACTAGAGTTTTGGCCTGTTCTTTAGATGGCTTTTTCTTCTTAGAAGTCTTGATATGGGCCTACTTGTTACTTTTGCTTTGTATTTCTAGAAATATGTTTTTACTGGTGAAGTTTGTCCTATAGGTGGAAACTTCTGAGGGGTAATCACAGCACATTCTGGTTAACATGGAGAAATGAGGCACTTGAAGCGTGCTACTGGAGAAGGGCAGACTGGTTTAATAGTTATGTTACTATACACATATCTAAGCCTACTTAACGCATAAAATATGAACATATTCGGATCTGATTTCATGTAGCTGGAAAAAGAAAACTTCAAATCTCAAATCTATTTTCTACAGCATATGGGCAAAAGAGCTTAGCAGAGGGAAATAATTGATAGTATTTTTCTTTTTATCATGTTGAAATGTTAATTACTTTTTTAAAAAGCAATTCACTTGTAAATTGACACTTAAGAGAACTGTGGGCAGATGCACAGTGTGAAAGTTTCTACTTCTCAAGTTTGATAAAGATTCTGAGGTCTTGTTTACAAAATGTACTTACTCTCTGCCTGTTGGCATTGCATGCTGTGACACTTAAGACAAAAGGTTTTTATTTTCTAAGAAAATAATTTATTTACCACTGTTTTGTTGTATGTTCGTAATATTTTTATATAATTTGGTTAAGCATGTTCCTTTTTGCAAGTTGTTCTTATGAGCTGTCTGTCTTTTCTGTAGTTTTTCCAACTTCAGGTTCTCCTCAAAGGAGTATTGACCAAAGAAGTACAACATTGGCTGCCTCTGGTCCTGTAGGCATAGTAACTGTTGTCAATGGTGAATCAAACAGCCTGGCTCCCTGTCCTCCTGATTCCATGCCCTCTCAGAACGAGAGTGAAGAGGATGACAATCTCAATCCAACAGAAAAGCTTCAGTAAAAGTTCTTTAATTTTTTTTTCATAATGTGCTTTAGTGATTTTGAGTGTTGCTTTCTTAATGTTCCATGTTAAGAAACCATTTCATATTTTAATCTTCTTAATTTAGTATTTTATACTATTTCATAAGTGGTCCAAGGTAGTGAAATGAGTTCAGAGCTTTAAGCGGTATGTTCTTACAGCTATGGAAAGGACAAGAAACTTTATAGCACTATTAATTTATATATAGATACACACTTCAACTCTACAGACGTTTGATTAATATGACAAAAGACAAAGCATATTCTTTTTTCTCCTCAGGAAGCTAAATGAGGTTCGTAAGAGACTGAATGAGTTACGTGAGTTAGTTCACTACTATGAGCAAACATCTGATATGATGACAGATGCTGTGAACGAGAACACTAAGGGAGAGGAAGAAACTGAAGAATCAGAAAGTGATTCTGAACATGAGGATCCACAACCTGTTACAAATATTAGGTTGTCATATTTGTTGTCATCCTAAATCATAGCGGAGTTGTTGTGCATTTCCTGAAGCAATGCATTATTTCAGTCAGCCAGGAGTAACTTAATTCTGTGATTACATTAACTTCCCAAAATTTCTAATTTGAAGTAGCTTTCTTACACAGTTAGTTAATAATTTGTCCTTGGTAACTCATTTCTATAGCAAATGTAGCTGATGTTGGACATTTCAAAAGTCATTACAAGAGGCTGCAAAATCTGTGATAAGCAGATTTTGGGTTTAAGCACCGAATTATGTGCATGGAATTCCACTAGAAGTTAACAGGCCTAGACTAGAGAATTGGAGTAAAAACAAACTTGAGATTAGAGAGGCATTTAGAGCCATAGTCTAACAGGGCAGCTGTGTGCTTCAAGAATCTTCACTATGTGGAAATTAATACTAATTTAGCTATGAATCATATAAAGGTTTTATAATATAGACATACACCTTGAAGGCCTCTTTTAGTGTAGCAAGGGGTGATTAATTGCTGCTTCTGATTGCTTGAAAAAGAAGAATCTATTGGAGAGATAGATATTGAGATATTCCAAAAGTTTGGACTGATTTTATATGGGGTTGATTATTTTTTTTAAGGGTCAGGACACATTCCTCTAAAAGCTGGTTAATAAAATGGCTGAAGTAAAATTCCATCAATAGCAGCTTTTGAAAAGTTAACATGAGTAATGTATTGTACCCTAGAAACCCTCAAGGAATCAGTAGTTGGAGTGAAGTAAATAGCAACTCAAATGTGCAGTGTGGAACTAATAACAGAGATGGAAGACATCTTAATACAAACTGTGAAATAAATAACCGATCTGCTGCTAATATAAGGACTCTAAAAATGTCTTCTCCTCTAGGTATGTTCTGAAATCTTTTAATAATTCTAAGTCTTAGTGCAGATAATTCTGATAGCCACACAAAATTTTGGGTGAACGTTGTTTAATGAGCAAAATGTTGAAGAGCCTAAGTCATTAAGCTGATATTTTTTTAATGTCCAGTAATCAGGTTGGACTTCAGAAGTTCAGTAAACATGTTCTTGATACTGTTTTGTTTCCTTCTTTCCCCATTTCCAGATTGTCATAATAGAGGGGATGACAAAGACATTGACCTACCCCAAGGTGAAGATGATGAAGTGGAAGAAGATAGAGTTAGTGAAGATTCCATATCTAGTCACAGAAGCAGCATGGGTGATGCTGCTGGAGACGCTGAGTTTGAGCAGAAGATCAACAGGCTTATAGCTGCAAAACAGAAACTTAGACAGTTACAAAACCTTGCTGCTATGGTGCAGGTATTTTATAAATATAAATCTGTGCATAAAAATGTAGCATTTGTGATTTCATTTAATGTATAACTTTTGATAGGGAAAAGCACTGTGTGCTAACATTGAAAATGCTCATTTTCAGGCTGGGAAAAAGACTGATTTTTCTGAAGTCAGAGGTCACACTTCTGAAGTTCAAATATGGAATATTTTTGAGGCATGCTAACCTAACAGAAGAATGTCCTTAATGCTTAATCTTAACACTGGGTTACCAAATATGAACCAAGAAGTCTAATACTTTTTAAATAATGTTGATCTGTTTTTAAGATCAAAATGAATATTCATCAGTTTTAAGTTTTGGTTCTTAGATTATTTTGCAACATCACAATTAGGAAGAATTACTTGTTTTCAATTAAAATCTTCAGATGTTGCAACATGTTTGAGTTACGGTATTTTGGTTTGGGGCAGTGGTTTTGAGGTTGGTTGGTTGGGGTGTTTTTTGTTTTAGAACTTGAAGACCAGCCATGAGTTGGAATATCTCATGCTAATTTAGTGATGTTTATTAAAAACTTATTTTAATGTACCTAATGTCCCTGCAGAATACTTACATTTGAGCACCATCTAATGTAATGTCTGCATTCTGAATACAAATACGGTGTCAGAAATGTAGCAGCTTTATTGGAGAACTCTAAAATCAGTCTCAGCTAGAGCATATGTTTTACACTAGCAACATTATCGGTGCTATATTATTTCAAGACTGTGCTACTATCAAACTTATCAGCATCTGGACCAGACTGTTTTTATCGTTACTGTAGAGATGTTAACTGTACAGTGGTATAAATCAGAATTAGGAATGATACGACAGCTTCCTTAATAATCTAATTAATAGGGTGTCTTCAGTCTTTCCTTGATATTTACAAGGCTTGTATGTGTATGTACTTGGTAAGGGTACTGCAGGTCTGTGCATCTGTGTCATACTTAATCATTGACGATCTCTCTCCTGTTCAACAGGTTCTGTGTTATGTTGAAAACAACACAAACAGTGACTACAGCGTTAATATTTTAAGTTGATAACTGAAAATTATGAAATTATGAAACCAAAAGTGTAATGGAGAACCATGTGAAAGACTGTTTCTAAAATATTTTAGATTTAACTTACAAGAGTAGTTCTGGTTTTGTTTTAAGCTGTTAATAGTAATATTTGACTTCATGACTACAGTAAATAAGCAGGCTTGTTCACCTCAGCTGCCCTCTATTTTTCTTTTTGCTTCCCCCTGTTTCTTGACATACTTGTGTTTCTATCCACTCAGCCATAGACATAAAATACAATTCAAGTGGTATATGCATCCAGAACGAGACAAGTTATCTTGCATTTTATAGTCAGAATCAGTGGTGTGAGCTTTATAACTTTGTCTCATTAACTTATCTTAAAGTTGTGATGCCATGAAGATGATGGCCTTGCAGTTTGTTAGTTGAACTAAGATAAAGCTATTTAGACTGTCAGTTTTGAAAAATTAGTTTGACAGACTAAACTTGTTACATTTTGTGTATCAACCTGAAAACAGTCTGACTGCCATTCTGGTATCCTTTTAGGATGATGATTCAGAACCTCAAGCAACAATTGCAAATGCATCTAATATTGGTGACTTGGTTTTGGGTGAGATGGAAGAAACGGTGCAGCAACCAAACAACATCCGAGCCAGTACCAACAAGTTTCAAAAAGATGCAGGACTAAATGAAAAAGCAAGGTAGGCCTTTGTCAAAGACTAGTAGAGTCATGCTTTAGGCAACTTATTGCCAACTAATATATGGATGACTTATGTACACAGAGAGAAGTTTTATGAAGCTAAACTTCAGCAGCAGCAACAGGAGCTTAAGCAGTTACAAGAAGAAAGAAGAAAACTGATGGAAATTCAAGAAAAAATCCAAGTGCTACAGAAGGCTTGTCCTGACCTTCAGGTGAGTAGAATGTTTTTTTCTTTGCTTTCATAAGCTGTTGAGCAGTGAAGCATAAAATATATTTCACACCATTTTTTTACTGTAAAAATTGGGGGAAAAAAAAGCTTAAAATTGGTAGCACTTGTAATACTGTAAGCAGCTAGAGTTCTAAACCTAGAGAAGAGCTCTAGTTATTGTATTCTACTGTAGGGTCTTGCTCAGTGATTGCTGTATCAAGCCCTAATTTTGCGTAGTGCTCAAAAGCCTTGATGTAAAGTCTTCAAAGTTAGAGCATCTTCTGTCTTTTAGGCTGAAATTTGTCTATCCATACCTTCTAGTCACTGCATCTTCACTCTTAAGTCACTTGCAGGGTTTGGTATTTTGGAACAGTATTGTCTTGCAAGGATCACCCATGCTTTGTTGTATTCAGACTTAACTGCACATTGCTGTTTCTCACACTCTTTGAAGATGAACTTTTTCTGTGAATTGAACAGTAAATTATCAATACTGTGCGTCTATAGCGTTGTATGATACCATATTACACAAAACAAAGTTGTCTTGATTGCTGGTTAAATTCTGTAATGAGTATTTAGCCTTGACTCAAAAATCCCTTTTCATTGAATACAAATTCTCCTGCCTCATAAAACCTGAACTGTGTTGGCTTTTAACAGCAGGTGAGTTTTGGCAAGCTATTTTACTGTGTTTTGCCATTTTGTCTTGCCTTGCAGTTATCGTCTGGCCTGGGCAACTGCTCAGCAAACAGGCAGACTTCACCAGCAACCTCCACTCTGGCCATGAATGAGTGTAACACAGCTGGCAAGACCTACCTTCAATTTGATGACTCTGTACCAGTAGGCAACGAGGTATTTCATACTTGATATTCTGTGACTTAAAAGAGGTTTAACTTGCCTGTAGTTTTAAGTACCTGGTGTGGAGAGTGCAATAGTAGCTATTTTAACAAAGTGTGTTGTCAACTTCTTTGCTTCATTTATGGAAGGAAGTAAATACTGACCTGAACTGGCAAGAGACCTTTCCCCAAATATAACAGTTGTTGACAAGTATTAATGTGGCTGAATTTTGAATTTGTACTGTGAACATTTGATGGATGACTTGCCTGTGGTGTACATCATGTAGAAAACGATGGCAGCATTCTTAATTCAGCTTCTATACATCTTCCTTTCCCTTTTCCCTCAAAATTCATGTCTTAAATAATGATCTAGATAGTAACTTCATCTTTCTGAAAGTTATGCTAGCTCTTGTTGGGTTGCGGAGGGATATGTTGTGAAAAGTATTTACTGGCTAGACTAAACATCCAAAACAAATACCTGAAAAATACCTTCTTTTAAAAGACCTTCTCTGTGAATTGCATCAGCATTCTTGTAAATTATCCTTTAACAGGTTAGGTGAGGTTGATTGGGCAGTGCCTGTACTGTTGTCATTAAAAGCCAAATTTTCCTTCTCCAGTAAGGTAATTTCAGAACTTTAGAATCTTCCAAATAAGCATTATAGGACAACTTGTCTCTTTCCACTAAATGAAAGGTCTGTATTCTTCCTGCTAAAAAGAAGCTGTCTCTAAAATGAATGTGCTAATGCAGTTGCTAACACTCTGCCAACAGGCTGGGTTGTTAGGTATCAAAAGATGCATGGATTTTTGTTGGAAAACATCATACCTCCAGGACCACTTAATTCAGTTGTTTTCAGGCTTGAGAACATTTGTCACTTGTCTGTCTCTAGGTCTGTGTTTTCCTGTCTAGTTAACTTATGCAATTGTGTTTGTATGTCATGCTATTATGTTAAGTGATGTAGAGCATAGCTTCCCTAAGCACTGTTTTCCTTAAATTCTCTCCTATAATGTTTAATTACCTTCTTAGATTTTTCAGTGTTTGTGATAAATTTTAAGTAGTGGATATATCTTGCAGCTTTCTGTGACATGTGGCAGTCACAGTATAACACTTAAACAAAAAGGTATCGGTGTAGGATCAAATACTGGAATTTTAATCTGCTTTAGTTCCGGTTGTATTTGTTTTGTTTATATTCTAATGTCTTCCATTTTACTGCAAACAGTTGTGGTCTGAGATGAGAAGAGATGAGATTTTAAGAGAAGAATTGCGGCAGAGGCGAAAGCAACTGGAAGCTTTAATGGCTGAACATCAGAGGAGGAGGGAGCTCGCAGAAACAGTGTCTACTGTTGCTGCATCTGTTCAAAGTGAAGGGTCAGAAGTTCAGCGTACTCCACAGCAGAGCAGGACTGAAAAGTAAGAACACGAATCGCTTTGTGTTAGTCGGTGATTCTGTTCAGTGAGATGTCAGTCTTGGGGCAGTTGCCTGTTTTCATCTGAACAATGAACGTGGTTATGATAGAGTAGTAAGTAAATTAACTTCTTGAATGCTAAAGTGACTGTTGGCAGCTTGTCAGTTTTATGGGTCTTCTCAACACATTTAGTCTCCTCTGCTCCAGAAACGGTGAAAAGTCTCTTAAGGAAAGGAGAAGGTAAAAAATGCCAAATGCTCAAGAGTAATTTTTCTTCATCTCTATGCCATTTATAACAATAGTAAAATAATAATTTTAAAAAATGAGTAATTTCACTTCACTGTTCCAGTATCAGATGAATACTACTTTCATTTTACATTGGTGAGGTATATTTAAATTAATTTTGATGCAGCCTCATCAATTGAAGATAGACTTGTAATTGTCAACAGATTGTTTTAATAATTTGTCCTAAACTAAGAGGAAAAGTACTCTTCCCTTCCTAAATATCTCCCTTTTCTGTGTTTTTTTTCTCCAATGTTCACTAGGACTGTGGCTACCTGGGGAGGCTCTACCCAGTGTGCTCTAGAGGAAGAGAATGGAGATGAAGATAGTTATCTCTCTGATGGAGTTGGTCATGCAGAGGAAGAGGAAGAAGATGCATCAAGTTTGAATGACAGCTTCTCTATTTATCCCAATAACAACATACCAGAAAATGCATATTTTGTTAAAGACAACAAGGACCGGTTAGTGGCATTGCTTGTTCTGGTGCTTGTCAGAGTGTATTTGGGAGGGTCAGAAGCAGCACTGCATTAGCTACGAGGTGGCTTTCACAGAAAAGAGGAATTTCTTTCTGCTTGTTAAAGGAGATGAGCTGTATGGTGGCGCTTCATTGAGCCCCTGTAGCTGCAATGTGTATAACTCATTTGATTGTTTCTTCTCTTTTCAGTCATGTTAAATATCTGTCATTGAGCTCTTCAGTTGTGTTGCAGTAGCTCCTTTTGTTCCCATGTTTTTTTAATTTTTTTATATGAGGTTTTTGCTGTCAATATTGATCAGCCTTTTCTAAAAAAGTAATTTGGAAAATTAAACTCCGAAATTTTTGCTTTTGAATTGTTGGCTGTTGCAGCTTTGAAAATGATTTCTTACTAAATTTTTAAAAATTAATATGAATATTTTTAACTCTTGCTTACCTTATTGATTTCCTTGATAGGTTATGTGTGACTAAATGAAAATGCCGTATTAGAAGTAATGTCTGTCCCTTAATTGTTATCCTCTGGGTTTAATATCAAAATAGTTTTAGTAGATAGCAGGCTTCTAGTCAAGGGCTGGATCTCCTTATTCTTAGTGCTTTATGTTGGTGGCTTCAATTTTCATCTGAGTATGTGTTACATGTCAGTAGTGGATGATACTAAAAACAGGATCCAGAAACATCCCTAGCAAGTATTTTCTGACAGTGGTTGTCAGTTGAGTGGCCATTATTTTCCACTTGTTTAGGAGAATATTGGAGCTTGGAGTTGTTGACATACAGCTGAAAAATAATTTGGATAATGCAAGTGTCATTAGAAGAAGTTGCTTGGAATGTCCCCTTTTTGCCCTCATTCTGCCTTTCTTTCCCCACTCAGGTGGAAGAGTGGGCGTCCTGCCTCGGCAGACGGGAATTGCCGCCCCTCGTCGAGAGCGAGGCGGCAGCAGCAGAACACGAGCGTGCGACGTCAGGAAAACGTGCGGTGGGTGTCTGAGCTTTCCTACGTGGAAGAAAAGGAACAATGGCAAGAGCAGATCAATCAGCTGAAGAAACAGCATGAATTTAGTGTCAGCATTTGTCAAACTTTGATGCAGGATCAGCAGGTAGATAGTGATTATTTTGCTGTTTTGACTTGACTTTTTTTTTTTCTTTCCCCACTAAATCTTCTCGGGAGTAACTTCTGGGTTTGATAAATTGGTGACTGTCATTTTATTTTCTTTCCACAGACCCTCTCTTGTCTTCTGCAGGCTTTGCTCACAGGCCCTTACAGTGTGATGCCAAATAATGTTGCGTCTTCACAAGTACATCTAATTATGCATCAATTAAACCAGTGTTACGCTCAGCTGAGTTGGCAGCAGAATAATGTCCAAAGGTTTGTTGATTGTATCGGTGTTTGACTGCAGAATTTGAAACGTTTCAGTAACAGAGAACGTGGTCATGTGAACTAAAGGTTACAGTTAGTGGTTAAATATGAAACTTATTGAACTTCTGAGTTGATTACAAGCTTTTGAAATTGTATACAGCATTTTTGATTGGCTTTTTCACAGTTTTCCTGCCTTTTAGATGGTTCTTTTTGAGCAATCTTTAGTGAAAAGATCCAAAAGTTGGCATCTTTTCCAAAAAGATTGACTTAAAAGGTTTAGATTTAAAAGATTTTAAAAGATTCTAACAATATTTAGACTTGGGTTAGAGTTGCTTTCATTGAATATGCTTTTATGTCTGTGCTAGCCTGTCTGGCAAGATAAACTGGATTCTAGTGGTTATGGAAAAGTGGTGGAAAAGCTCTTTGTCCTTTCTTAGTGTTGCTAGGCATAATTTATGCTTACTTAAGATCTCTTTGGATGTATTACTTTTACTTTCAGAACAGTGATCTCTCTTAAAAAGACTTATTTTAATTCACTGCATGAAAGTTCAAGATCTTCATCTATTTTATGTTGGAGTGGTGCATAGTACTGGCCTTTGGTACAATGTTTGAAAGTAGTTTTGGTGCCATCTCTGCAAATATTTTGTATTTTGTTTCAGTTCAAAACAACTTCAGTTGTTTCTAGCTAAGTTTCCTTTTCAGCTTGCCTATGCTTTTTATCATCTAGCCGTGTTTTTTCTGTTCTTCCAAGGATGTTTAACTTCTGTAAACATAACTACTGGTACAGAATGGTTCATTTTGTAATGGTTCCTGTCTTGTCGCTTAGGCTTAAATATGAGGGTTTTTTCCCTTTTTTTTTCCCCCACTGGCTAAATGGAGCAGTTCTGTACATATGTTGCATGGGGCAAGTGAAATAATATGAACCTCAAATTACTTGAGTATAAATTTACAGCTTTCCTATAGCATTCTTTTTTTCCCCAAGTGCTTTTTTATTTGTTTTCAAGGTTGACACAAATGTTAAATGATCTTATGTGGCAGCAAGAGGAACAGTGTCAGGAGAAGCCATCAAGAAAGGAGAGAGGCAGTAGTGCACCACCACCTCCATCTCCTGCTTTCTGTCCGTTCAGCTTTCATCCACAACCTATGAACCTGTTTAATGTACCAGGATTTACTAATTTTTCTTCCTTTGCTCCAAGTGAGTATTACTACAGGTGTGACAAGTAACAAAAATGTCAGAAATTTCTGTTCCTTCATGTAATTGAGATCTTGATGGGAATTTGCTGAAACTGTGACATATTGAAATGATCTTAGGCAGTACTTGCATCAATCTGTATGTGTTATCCTAGCAGAAATTTGTTAAATTTTGTTGCTGAATAATTGTATGTTTTTACTTCAGTATGAAAAGCAAAGCTTTCTCAATAAGAAGTTGGTTATAGTTGAAAATACCCACTCTATAAATTTGATATTTTAAATGTTTTTCATTCAGCATGTGAAAAGCAATGTTTGAGCCTTTTACATACCTACAGCAATCTACTAGTGTTCCAGGTGAACCTCTAATTTGAAGGTGACACTTGGTAATTATTTTATTTCATCAAACTTCTGGATGGCACTCTTAAGCCTGTAAGTGGAGCATGTTACTAATTCTTGTTCCCATCAGATGTGTACAGTAACTGTTGAGTTGGATACAGTGATCCTAATCTCATACCAAACCTGCTTTTACTGTTGAAGTGGGGGAAAAAAAGTAGGTATTTTACTATATACTTAGAAGCTGTTAAAGCTGTCTTAATATACTTCAGCCTTTTCAGGGGACCAGGAAAGAGACACAAACTTAAGCTGTAGCTTTAAGATCCTAAGTCTGTTTTCTGTTTGTAAATATATTTTAAATCGCATGTAACCTACAGAGAAGAATAGTTATGTTCAATGTGCCACTACTGTAAAGATTCTGAGGTTCAAATAAGTATTTTCAAAGAAGTCATATGAATACTTGCACCGTTGGAGTTTTCTTGTCAACTTGATGGTAGTAGAAGTACTGGTGAAGTCTTCATGCAGACAGAACTCTGCCTTTTTTGAAACTTATGTTGGCTTTACTTTCACTTGTAGGAGCTCTTTTTTTGGGGTTTCTCGAATACCTTCATATCGCCACTGATGGGATTGTAGTGTCATGTGTACTGTCCAGTAATGTTCAGAACCGGCATTTAAGATAAATTCTGATTGTTGTGATCTTTCAGGACAAAAGCAGTTTTTGCTTACTTCCCCCACTGTACTTTTGCTTTATAATTTCATGTTGCCACAAAATGTGTCTCAAGTTTGACTTTTGTTTACTTTGTAGGTATTAACTGTAATCCAGTGTTCCCTTCTGCTTTTGGAGATTTTGCACCGAATACTTCACCACGCGGCAGTGAGCAGCAGCAGCAACAACATGCTGTAGGTCAGGGTGCTTCTGGGAAAACTGAGTATATGGCATTCCCCAAACCTTTTGAAAGCAGTTCCTCTAATGGAGCAGAAAAACAAAGGTACTCAAAGTCACAGTGCAACTCTCCATCAGTTGTTTTTCCTCGCTCTCTCCTTCCTCTTCTGGGGCCTGTGGGAATTCATAATTCTTTTAGGGAATTTGTTGTAATAGAATTACAAGATAAACTTTACTTTTGCAGTTTCCAGTTTAATTTTTTTAATTTTTTTTCCCAGGAAAGCATTCTGCTTTTCTGTATACCAGTGTAGCATTCTGTGAATATTTTAAAGTAAAACAGTGTTGGCATGGTTTTGTGATAAATCTTGTAAGTTGAGGAAGATCCAGTTTCTGTGGCTCTTTTTGAACCTGAGCTGTTAGACGTTCACTGAAGTTATATTCTCTAGTTATTCATTTTTTTTGTGTGCTACATTAGGTTGTAGTGATTGTCGGTTTAAGAAATGTTTTGTCCTATAGTACTATTTCAGCACCCTGATAGATCCGTAAGCATGTTCAGGTTTGAAATGTGTGATAAATGTGAATTTCTTCACAGGTCTTCCCTTTTCCATTTGGAAGGTTTCTCACTAGATTTTTTTTTTTCAATGTTCAGTTGATAACTAAGAACTAGTGTAGATAACTTGCATCATGGATAAAGCAGGTTGCCTTGTAGTCCATACTGCTTCTGTCTTGAGAGACTGGGTTATGATACATTGTGGTCTGTCTTTTTTTTCTGACAGAAAGAATCAAAGACAACCTGAAGAGGAAGTGGAAAAAAGATCAACTTGGCTTAATGGTAGCCATGAAGTGATAAAAGATGATCACTCTCAGCTGAAATCAGGTTTTCCTGTTTCAGTACAAAACATTGCTTCTGGTCATAAAAATCAGTCTGATATGAGCAGGAAAAGAGACTTTGATGAAGAGTCTTTGGAGAGTTTTAGTAGCATGCCTGATCCAGTAGACCCAACTACTGTGACAAAGACATTTAAATCTAGAAAAGCATCAGCACAAGCAAGCTTGGCATCAAAAGATAAAACACCCAAATTGAAGACCAAGAGGAAGAGTGTTTCTCAGCTAAAAGGCAGAAGTAAAAATACTGGTATGTTGTAAAGTAATCTTAGATGCCGTGTCAAACTCAGCTTGGATCATGTGTTTCAGAGAATTTGCTCTCTGTAAGCGGTACTTAAAATAATAAAAGTAAGCTACTGATACATGAATTCATTTTGCATAACATAACTACATAAGGTTTTTTAGTACTTCAGTAGCTAAACATAACTGATGAGGACATCATGAGTTGAATGGGTGGTGGATGCAGATACACTAAAATTTGGAATAAGTCACCAGGAGATAACCACCCTCTTCATCTGTCCTCATGTTCAGACTGGCTGACTTGCTGAACGGTGTGCTTCATAAAGCCCTGAAGGGGAGGAACAGTACTAGCATGTGCAGTCACTGGGGATTTAGTGCTGCTGTGTGACGTCAGTGTACGGAGGAAACTTTTTGGCTAGAAAACATCACTGGTGTTTTGCATCTTTCAGATTGCCCTGGAACTAATTTTTAAAAGTAACAGACCATTTCATAAGGTATTTTTGGTGTTGTCCTTTTTATTGCCTCTTATTAGGTTATGAAAGTGCAAGTGCTTCTAGTGCGTGTGAACCCTGCAAGAGCAATAAAAGCAGACACTCTGAAGAGGTTGTTCACGCAAAAGTGTTCAGCAAAAGGAATCAGGAGCAACTGGAAAAAATAATTAAATACAGTAGATCTACAGAAATGTCTTCAGGTATTCCTTTCTGAATGTCAGTAATTATTTTGTAGACTTGTCTGAGTAAAGGATCTCCATACTTGGTTGCTGGTGTGTTAGTTAAAAGCAGCGTATTATGACAAGAAGACAATACTGTATGTTTAGCATGTGGATTTGGCTTTTTAATTTCTAAGGATGCTGTAAACATTTAAGGGTGTAAAAAATTGTGTACTGATTGCTTTTGGGTGTTTTCTGTAGATTAGGTACATGATTAAAATAATTCAGAAACAAACCTGTTCCTGGCAAAACAAACTGAGGCAGCCAGAAACCTCACCCGTTTGTTGGAGTTTACATGGAAAGTAACTGCACAACAGATGAAACTTTGTGTAGAGTTTAAACTGCATCCTGTGCTGCGTACGTGTTTTCTTTCTGTTCATGCTTAACGAGCTCTGTCAGATATCATTCAAATTCAGTCTTATGACATTACACAAACCTTTTCATTTTTGCCATCTGCACTGCTTTTCTTGCATCTAGATCATAAAAGTATTCTTCTGTCTTTTTGGGTTCTGCCAGTATCTTTTGTTTGGAAGATGCGGAAATTTTAGTTGTTCTGGCACGATGTACGGCTTTGCCAGTGTAGCTGCCCTTGCACTAGGAGCTGTTTATTGCTATACATAATAAACTTCTACGAGTCAAGTTCTCTCGATAAGCAGCTTTGATGTGGTTTGGATGAGTAAGCAGTCGTCCCCCTGCTGTTTTGTATAGACCCTGTCTTGATTTCTGGTGCGCATTTTTGTGTTTATCACTGTCTGTCCCCACTTTCCTACAGCGCATGCTAGGAGAATTCTGCAGCAGTCTAACAGAAATGCATGCACTGAAGCACCAGGTAATGCATCCACTGCTTAAGCTTCAACAATGTCCTATTACTTTTTTTTTCTCTTAGCTTTGGTCCTATAACTCAGACTTTAGCAGATGTTCAGAGTTAGCGCTATTGCAGAACCTTCTCTATAAGCAAGGCAAGAGAGGTTTCTTGTAAGTTGCTTGAAAGGCAACAGTACAAACTACTTTGAATTATAATTGTGGAGCATGTGTTTATCATGTTCTGTTAGCCATGATTGCAACTAGAAAATTTGGAGGTAAATCCTACAACAAAAACCTAATTTCATTAGGCATTTTCAGTATGTTTAAAGCTACTATGACGTTTCATTAATGGGGAAGAGAAGCCATTTCTGGTGGCTTATAAAGGCTGAAAAAGCTTGCCTCTACACTTAAAAATACTGGTAAATTATTTGCAGATAATCAAATGGCACAGTAACATGCTGTATTGCTAATAACTTCATTAACTTGAGTACTAACAAATATGCATCTGTTTAACTAAGCTGAGTTTTCTAAATTTAACTTTTTTCCATTCAACACTTGCCAAAATACATATGTAATAATTTAACTGTTGTGATGCCAAAATATGTGTGTAATAATTTAACTGTTGCAATGCAAGGATAACCCTTAATTTTCAAAGGAATGGGAGACTTATTAGGGAGCACATTGTCTTCCATACATATGTAATAGGGCCTAATGTTTTTTTGAGCCTTAAGTGATAATATACATGTATGAGAATGTAGGACTTATGCTTGTGTGGGAAGGAGTGGCTTTCTTGAATTCAGTCTAGAGCTTTCTTAATGTTGCTTGTGTAAAAGTGTGGACTACTTCTATAATATAAACTTGAGGTCTTTGGCTACCTTGTTTGAAATATCTTAACTCCATTTTCACTGTTGAATGCCTGTTCTGAAAGCAACGTTCTGGTGTGTGCAATAGTCTTTTGAATAAAGCATACTTTCCAAAGGTGTTCAGAAGTGTAAATAAAATTCTGCCCATCAGTACTTTATTTTGTATACGAAAGGTTGCATAAAGTGTTATTTCAGAATGTTTAAACTTCTGTTGCCCCTCAGGAAATGAGTAAGCTTTAAGAAAGCAGCTGTGTAGTGCAATCTAACATGATGGAGATGTGATTTGTGTACCTGTGACTCGCATACCTAATAGGCAGTGGTCTTCCAACTGGATGCATGTGAAGGACTTAATGAATTCCTTTCTTTCTACAGAAACTGGTAGTGATCTTTCTATGTTTGAAGCTTTGCGAAACACAATTTATTCTGAAGTGGCAACTCTAATTTCTCAAAATGAGTCTCGTCCCCACTTTCTTATTGAACTTTTCCATGAGCTTCAACTGCTAAATACAGATTACCTGAGGCAAAGGGCACTGTATGCTTTGCAGGTATGCAAAAAACTTTTTGAACTTGTGTATGAAACAAGCAAATCTTAGACCTTTTCTTACAGTATAGATTTACTGTCTTTTCTAGGATATAGTGACCAGACATTCATCTGAGAAAAACGAAAAAGGGAAGTACACAAAATCACTGAATTCTGCAACCTGGATAGCATCAAATTCTGAACTCACTCCCAGTGAAAGCCTTGCTTCTACAGATGATGTAAGTTTTCAAGTTTAGTAGCTAGTACACTGTCAGCTTTTCCGGTCTGCTCAGTTTACATGAATGTGTACTGACATACTCATACTAGAGACTGAATTTTTCTAAAACTTATATTGACTTTTCCTACAGACTTTTCTAACAAACGAAAGAGAGAAAAAGTGATTAAATGTGGTAGGAATTTTTGAAATGGAAATTTTTAATTTTTGCTGGAAATGAGTGAAGTATCAGGGAGAAAAAGTACATGGAGGGGGCATAAATCAGAAACTGATACTTGGAGACAAAATCCTTCTGAGTGAGGTCAGCGCATGTATTGATTGCAGGATGCCCAAAAAAATTTTTTTTGTGTTTAAGAAATAACTGATGCCTCTGTACAGTTTTGTTTTATAGTTAAAATATATGAAGCAAACATGGTAGAGTCACCTGATGGATTTATATTCTGAAATTAAGGGTGTTCCCCAGTCAGGCAGGCTGGTGACAAGTCTTGGCCATAGCATGTGGCTGAAAAGAATTGCTGGCTTGTTTACAAATCTGTGACAGGATGGTGCCTTCCTGCTTTGTATTCAGCTGTTTGGTGTTTTTTTAAGGAAACTTTTGCCAAGAACTTTTCTACAGAAGCATGTCAAGATTGTGAACAAAACGATGCAGACAATAGGAGTACTATGTCTATGTCTTCAAATTTTGAACCCTTTGCTACTGATGACCTTGGTAAGAATGGTGTGATTTAGTGTTGTGTTACTCCTTCCCTCCTAGAATGCCTGCCTTTGTCTCTGCTTAAATAGTATGTTCTTCTTTCATTTTTTTAGTGTATAATCGTGTGTTGTGAAACAACAGTTGAAGAAATTAGCCACTTGTGAAACACAGTTGATCAAAACGTGTAATAAAATATAACTCAACTGCAGCTATATATATATTTCAAAACTTGTAGCTTTGAATTCATGTTTATCACTGTTTACTTGTCTAACAATTGAAGTTTTTATTTAGATTAAAAGGTGTTTTTATTCTAAATATAGGCAACACAGTGATTCACTTAGATCAAGCTTTGTCTAGGATGAGGGAATATGAGCATATGAAAATGGAAGCTGGAAGTACCCTTGACTCTGAGGGCTGCTCTAGTAATTTTCAGGGTGCTTCTGCTGCTAAACTGGAAGGTATGCACATATATACATATTTTGCTTAGCTTTAGAAAATAACTCTCAAGAATTATTTAACTGGCTGAATTGCTTTCCTCTTCATTTATGTTGAAAACTTGGCAAAGCTTCAGAGAATCTTAAGTAAACATGGTTTACTTTTTACACAGAAAAATGTATTTTTGACGTTGGTGTTTCTTTAGTAATGTTGTTCAATGACTTAAACACGCTGCTTTTTTCTCAAATGAGGTCCAAGTGCCAGTGAATGTCTTCCTGCACAACAGTCAAGTGAAGCTTCTGCTGTTGCCTGTCCTCATATAGATACGCAGCAGCTTGACCGGCAGATTAAAGCAATTATGAAAGAAGTCATTCCTTTTCTAAAGGTAAGAACTCTTTTGAATAATGTGTGAATTAGAAGAGTAAGAAAAGGACCTGCATAGCTGCATAGAAGAACATGATTTGATATGTTCCATCTTAGTCGCAGCTGCCAGTATGTATTAAGTTGCAGATGAAGTGAGAATTAAATACTCCAACAGAAAGATTCTGTGGAGTTTTTAATAGGAAAAAGAAATTCTAAGTTTTCTAAATTGCATAAGGGTGGTGGACTCAATATCAAGAACAGAGATTTGTTTGGAGCTGACCAAACGAAATAGAAGTTTGAGAATGTACTTTTGAAGTATTTTCTGCCTTTTAGCAAAGACAACTGACATGAGTTTAATAGTGTTGCCTACAATGTAACTTGAGATATTTTTGAAAAATAGCTCTGAATTGTTGATTTATAGCATTGTTTTTCCTCCTGTTTTTAAATATCTTTAAAATTGTTGAGACCTTGTAAACTTCTGTGAATGTAGAGGAGAAATGTACTTCAAAGAAGTAGTTGTAGTTGATTCTTTGCAAGGTTAAAGAGCAGAGAAGATGGAGTTGTAAGATGCTTGAGTTATCTTCCTGTTCCCTTTTAGAGTATGTGCAGTATAGAAGCCTAGGTTTGTTCAAGAAGGTACTTGGCAGATACTAGGATTAAAAACTGTATGTTGCTGACATACCACAGTCTTGGGTGCCTCGAGTTCTGTTTTGTTTGCAGTTTTAAAGGTAGCTTACAACAGCAGATACATTAACCCACTTTAATACACTTGAGTGCACAATCACAATGTATAATGATTCTTCGTTGATACAAATGTTAAAAGATGGCATGTACTCATGTATTGGAAGAGTGAGATAAACCTTTGTGTGTCATGGGCAGTCAGTCATTAATGAAATATGGTATCTGCTGTAGCTGTGGTCCACTTAGTTGGTATTGTGAGATGGGTTAGGACCTGTCCATGGAGTCCTGTTCATTCAGTGGAAAGGTGATTGTTGTTTCTATTTTTAATAAAATAATTTCAGTATGTCAGTTGATAGTTTTTTTTTTTTTTGTCTTTTAAGTGGTAACTGAGCTCATTCTGTGATACTTGTTTAGGAACACTTGGATGAAGTATGCTCGTCTCAGTTACTGACATCAGTAAGACGTATGGTCCTGACTCTTACACAACAAAACGATGAAAGTAAAGAATTTGTCAAGTTCTTTCATAAGCAGCTTGGCAGTATACTTCAGGTTAGTAGTATTTCAGTGTTGTTTTGTAACACTTGCAACTTGGATAACAAGCCAGATAAACCAGCTTCCCTGAAGTTATATTTTAAGTCTTCAATAGCATAGCTACTGTTCTTCAGCTTTGATACAGCAATGAAGCATTACCTTATTTCCTAAAATTAAAGTTTTATCATGCACATAACTTCCATTCTCTCGCTGTCAGATAGTGATGGTGTATCTCCTGCCTTCAAGGAGAGCTCTGGTGATGTTCTTCATGGACATTGTATAACTTCTTGAAAATCAACACGCTGCTCTTTTTTTTTTTTTTCTTTCTACAAGCATAGAATATAAATCTTTCTACAAGCGTAGAATATAAATCAGGAACTTGAAAAGTTCTGTTCGGTGAATAGAGATTCTACTTAAAATCTGTTTAAGACACTAAACCGTATTTTTTTTAAAAGTACAAGCTGTTATATACCTAACGTTGAGTTATTGGGAATATGACAGATACTTAGTCTTTGAACTTTGAATGCGTGCTTTAAAAACTGAAGAATTATTTCTCTTCACAGGATTCACTGGCAAAATTTGCTGGTAGAAAATTAAAAGATTGTGGGGAGGATCTTCTTGTGGAGATCTCTGAAGTGTTATTTAATGAATTAGCCTTTTTTAAACTCATGCAAGACTTGGACAACAACAGTATTTCTGTAAAGCAGAGATGTAAAAGAAAAACAGAAGCTACTGAAGTAATACAGTCTTATGCTAAAGAGGTTTGTTTTATTATAACTTTTTTTAAATGTGGCTTTTTGGAGTTGCCTAAATATTTTTATTTCCTAAGCTACTTTGATTACCTTAGTTTGTGTGTTGTATATATTATTACAAATGAGTGCCATGTAGTCACAGTATTGCATATGCAGAAGCAGGAACTAATTTTCCGTAGTAAGGGAGATGTTCTGTATTATATATGTGTGTCTGTTACAGATACCTAATTGTGTAGACTTGGCTAAATCAGAGAAATGTGTTTTAACGGTAATACATGCCCATAGAAAGGAATAATCAAGTGTTGAAGTAACATTGCCATTGGAGGCCCCCGAGTGGTTGTTGCGGTTGAACCCCAGCAAGCTGCTGTGCAGCACCCAGCCACTCACTGCCCCCATCCCCAGTGGGCTGGAGCTGAGACCTGGGAGGCTACAAGTGAGAAAACTCATGGGCTGAGATGATGACAGTTTACGAGGTCAAGCAAAAGCTGTGTGTGCAAGCAGACAAGGAATTCACTGACTGGTTCCTGTCAGCAGGCAGGTGTTCAGCCATCTCCAGGAAAGCAGGGCTCCATCCCATGTAGTGGTTACTTGGCAAGACAAACACCATCAGTCTGAATGTCTCCCTATTCCTTCTTCCTCCAGCTTCTTCTTGCATAGTATAGTTATGACTTCAGTATCCTTTCAGCTTTCTTTTAGAAACAGACATACCAAAGCAAACTCTTAACTTTTAAATGTCAATGGAATTTATTTCGTGACTCTGTCATAAACTATAATTAATGTCCTTTAAGTAGTTTTATGCGTGTCATCAGCTATATATATCAAGGTAGTTCAACTCAGGTATACCAGTAATATGACCCCTGTGAGAGACTGCAGAGTGCCTTGTAAAGAGGCCAGAGAAACACTCTGAATCCAAAAGAATTTGGACATGACTTCCTGTTCTATCTGAAATTGCTCATTGGGCCTTTGTTACATAAAGGGTTGGTTTATATGCTGCTGTGAGAATGCATGGAGCCAACTTGGATCCAGCAGTTTTTGTCCTCTCCTGGAAGACACAGAGTTAGGGTTAAAGTCAATGTTTGCCTTGTTGCTATGGCAGCAGTTCAGATTCAGCAGAGCCAGAGATGACCCAGAACTAGGTGCTCCTGGTTACTTTGCACAGACCTGCACAGTTACCTCCTGTATGGTTTTCTCACAGCTTTGAACTCTGGGATCCTGATGCAGGCACATCTGATTTTGCTTTGTTTTGTGGCTGTCTTGAGTCCAGTAAGCTAACAGGTTTTAGATTCCGTGCTGAAAAACACTGTCTTGACCGAAGCTGGTATATCTAATTCTGTATGTTAAATATGATTCAACCATGGACTAGAGAATTAGCCCATGTAAACAACTGTTTAAATAAAAAGGACTAGCACAGTTTTTTGTAGTGTTTTGAAACTCTGTAATGGAAGACATGTGTAAACATCTTGCTCACTGCTGTCTTGAGATAGCAATTCAGCCAGGCTTTCATGAAGCCCTAGTTTGGTTCAGTTTTTCAAAGTTAATTCAGTTTAGAATTGAAGACAGTTTGTGTTTCTTCTAGGCAAAAAAAAGTCTCCCGGTGGATGTTTGTTCATCTGCTGAAGATTTCGATGAGGACAAAGTATGTTTATGTTTCTCAACTGTCTTTATTCCTCAGATAATTTCACAGATCACTTAGTCTTACTGTCTTCTGTCCTATAAGTCCAGTATCTGTAAGCAGCCCATTTGCTAGTGTTTATCCATTCATTAAATATCATGGGTTTAATCTCTTTTATTTTCAATTATTTTCTTTATCAAAGTAGTAAAGGAAATTATAACTTTTAATTTGAATTGATGGTTGGGAAGTAACTACCAAAAAAAAAAAATCTGCCTTCATTGTTTGTTATTACATGCATTCAGTAAACATGACTTGGGTGTCGGTTCCTTTGTTGCTCTTGTGTTTATTCCTGTTTCTACTGCAGAGCCGTTACTAAAAACTATTTGATGCATTTCTTATGAAACATTACCTTGTTACCTTTCAAAAAGTCCATTCAATCAACAAAGACAGGACTAAAGATGTTTTTCTATTGAATAGAATGCTATTGAAGGCTATGCAACTGATATGGAAAGATTTGTGATACTTGCTGAGCAGCTCTAGGATAGGATCTTGCTTTTCCTTACAGTATTCGTTGTCTGTACTTTAACGAAAAAGACCTGCTCTGAAGGTGTTTATTGTGGGATTTGGTCTGGGGCTGCTGCCGCCTGTATTCTCACCTCAGAGCACTGAGAATGCAGTAATTTGCTGAAGAATTAAATTACAAGGACAGATTAAATATTTTGAGTAGCTAACATTTTCCTTTTCAATGGTATGGAATAAGTAGTTTTACTTTGTCTTAAGGAGCAGGCACATGTTCTGCAGTGGGACAGATGATATTTTGAGGTCCTCGCAGTCAAAGTCTGTGTGCTCTGAGTATTAGATGTTAGTGCCCAAAATGTTTTCCTTTTCTTTTTAAGGTTGTTTGGAAAACACTAACATTATTGTGTTTGGGGAGAGGGTTTGTATATGAAATTTTGCATTTTCTGATGGGATGTTCAGCTTTTCCAACCAAGGGAAAGATATAGGTAATGTACTATGTAGAATGTCAAATGCTTTCTTAAATGGATGTTACCTGTTCCAGTTGCTGTAGCGTAAGGGAGTCTTTTCAAGATTTGGAACCAAACTTAGGGCTTTTCTTGGGATTCATATAGGCTGAGCAGAATTTTCTCACTCAAGGTATTTAGCAAATCATTCAGCAGAAAAACTGCTGCTGAGTAGCTATTGCTAAAGAAATGGGAAGCTGCAGTTAGGAATATTGCTGATTTTTTACTAGGGATTATTTAGGAGAAGCAGGGAAGTTGCCAGAATAATGCAGGTGTGTATTTATTCCTCTTGATAATGACAAATCTAACTTAAATTCTTTTTTCTTAAGTTAGCATGCTGATCAGTGTGAAAATGTTCAGGTCATGAAATGCTCAGTTACAATGTCCTTGAGATCTACATCTGAACAGTGCATCTTACAGTGGGTTCTGATGCTTTGTTTCAAGAGTAGCTTTGCAGCATTAATTTCAAGGCCTTAGTGTCTACTTAAACATTAATTTTTAGTTGGTGGGGGTTTTTTTGAGAAACAAAGATGACTCTGTTGCAGAAGCCATAATTTATTCTTTAGATAAACATGAAATTGCACATTATTCCTTGTTTTCTAGGACAAGGATGAGACTGAAACTGTTAAACAAGTACAGGACTCAGAAACATATGATGGTCATGGAGTTCCTGAAAGTATTAGGTCTGATGCATCTGATCAAGAAGAAGATGAGGAAAGTGAAAGCGGTCCAGTGGCAATCAGTAAGTCATTTTAATTTAGCTCATTGTTCAGTGCTTTCACTGTTGTTTTTAACAAGTAATTTTACAACAGGATTTGCACGAAGTACTACTGTGTAGCACCTTATCTCACAAAATTTCTACTCAGGTCTTTTCCAGTGAAAGATTCTCAGTACCTTATTTACTAGTATTGTGTCAAGGCTTAAACATTACAATTAGAGGAGCTTTTTCTCTTTGTAGTTACTAGATCTGTAAAAACACATGCTAGAATCACATGAAGTTACATATCTTGTCTCAGTATTTAACCTGGATAACTTGAAAGCTGTTGAAATATTATGCAGTTTTTCATTTAAGTGGTGATGGGTTTAATATGCTTCTACTTAATCTTCCATATTTTTTTAATAGTTTTTTTTTGTCCTGGACACCATCTTACGCCAACTACTCATGGCTTGGTTTCCCTTATATTTACATTTTTCTCATTAACTAGTTTAATAACTTAGGTATTTCACACAAGCACAGTGCTTTTTGTTCATAATACAGTTTATGTTGAGAATATGTATCTTTGAAAGTTGTCATCCCTATATCTAAATGTCAAAGAATGTTTTGAAATAAGATTTATAACTGGTCTTTGCAGTAAATTCTGAAAAGGGATCTGGATTTAGCAGCCTGATTTTCACTCTGTCAGGCTCTGTCAATATAATGGTGTTTTTTTTGTATTGATTTGCCTTCAGGTTTATCAAAAGCAGAAACACAACCTCTGACAAACTATGGCAGTGGAGAAGATGAAAATGAAGATGAAGAAATAGAATTTGAGGAAGGACCTGTTGATGTGCAGACATCACTACAAGCCAGCAGTGAAACAACTGCTGAAAATGAACAGGTATCACCAAAGCTGTAAATGCAGAACAGACGTTGCCAGCGCACAGCTTTTCAGTGCTGTTTTCCAGCACCTCTTCTTTCAGTACCTCGTTTTTTCTTGTGACACTGTTTTCATTCTAATGAAAGTAAAGAATGATACAAAAAATTACATTAAAGCAATAGCTGCTACATACAAAATGGAGCATTCCCCACCTGAATTTATTAGTGGTGTAGCTGATGCTGAAATGAAGGGATGGATGCAGACGAAACTAAGGTTTAAATCTGTCAATGAGAGGTAATGTTAAGCTGCAGTGGAAAATACAAACTTTCAAAACAGCATAATTTTTTAAACTGTTAACTGGTTCTTCCTCTGTGTTTGCGGGCTTCAAATTCTAATTGGGCTTTCCTTTGCAGAAGCCGTTGACTCATGTAGTCTAGCATGTCTTTTATTTGTCTTTCCTTTTTATAATATGATAATTTTTTTTCTAGAACAACAGTGAAATGCTTTTGGCTGGTGTTGTCATTTGACTTGCCAGTTCTTTACATTTCAGCAAATAAGACTGACTTTTGAAACTTTGGTTTACTCAACAGCTGTTAACATTAGGCAAGGATGTAACTGGAACATTTTACTTCAAAGGCTGAAGCGATAGACATTTTCAGTGGAACCAAAGAGTTTATCTGGGAGCTACTATAGTGCAAAAAAAATTAAAGGTTTACATAAAACACACATATCAGTGTTAAGGTTTTTTTTAAAATGTTGACTAGCTGATGACCAGAATTTGCCGTCTTTATTTCAAACTAGTGAAAAGACAGAAACATGAAGGAGATGCACAGTGTGTTTCTAGTCAGCAGGGAAGAGTAAATTAGCCACTAAGTTAGGAAGCTGATGAGTGGAATTTGTTTCTAACTCATTTTCACCTTCTGTAATAGACTTCAAACCAAGAAGTGAGTAAGACAGAAAGCAGTGAGATTTTGTCATCAGAACAAGAATCTCTCAATATTACAGGTAAGCCCCATATGCAATAACTGAGAAATCAATACTTTGGCATGAATTTGCGTACTGTGAGAATTATCTTGGACATTGCCTGTGATATGTGTAATTAAAAGAGATGATCACATTTTCAAGAGTTAATTTTGCTGCTCTTTTTTTCTTGGAACCGTATCCGTTGACTAGATGTATCTGTGTTGATAGAGCAAACCTGGAATAATCCTACCTAGGTACCATAGAATCATAGAATGTCTGGGCTGGAAGGGGCCTCCAAAGGTCATCTAGTCCAACCCCTCTGCCACAAGCAGGGACATCTCCAACTAGATCAAGCTACCCAGAGCCTCATCCAGCCTGATCTTAAACGTCCCCAGGGATGGAGCCTCCACCACCTCTCTGGGCAACCTATTGCAGTGGCCTGTCATGCTCATATTGAAGAACTTTTTCCTAACGTCTAACCTAAATCTACCCTTTTCTAGCTTAAAGCCATTACCCCTCGTCGTGCCACTACAAACCTTTGTGAATAGTCCCTCCCCTGCTTTCTTGTAGGCCCCTTTCAGGTACTACCAGGTGGTATAAATGTTAGTTGTAATCCAACTTGTTACTACCACCTTCTCTTCTTGTGTTTTTCTGTTGCAAATACTAGTTTTCTTCTTGGTCTTTTTTCGTAGGCCAAAAGCAGTATTTGAGTAGACTATGTCAAAATGTTAAGGAATTTATTGTTCTGTATTAAACTACTCATTCTAGGTATAAGGAGATATACAGTAGATCATATGTTTCTGGAAGGTTTTTTTTGTTTAAAAAAATATCTTTCAAGTCAGAAATTAAGTTCCATACTGTCATGTGATAATTGCCGATACTTAAAGGTACGAGAGTAGAAATAACAGATGTTTAAACTCAGTCAGCTTTGTGTTAACCTGAGAGACTGTAATACACGTTCATTGCTCATTTGTAGCTTTGGATCATAACTAATAAAAAATAATAATAATAATAATAA